AGTCTGACACTAACTTATTACAACTTTTTTGTCTTGCTTTTACCTAGCGCCCTATTATACTTTAATTGGTTAAGGCTTCATGTTAATCAATTACTAAAGTTTTGACTTCACTAATCATTTTCTTCTTTCTTTCTTTAACTGATTAACTCCTGATTAAATTTAGCAAGGATATTGATTTGCCTTTAATTAATAGATTTGTTAAGAGAATTAAACTATATCCTACAAACTTAAATAATAAAGTTAGATATTAATGAATAAGAAATATTTTATTATCATAAAAAATATATGGAATCAATAGTACTTTATATATATTGGATTCATTTATAAGAAATAAAATTACTATTATATAGATATGCAAATACTTTTAGTATATATACGCTTTAAATATAAATATATTTACTTTTCATTTTGCATTAACATACAAAAATTATAACTTATAAAATTATTAATTATGTTTGAGATATTTGTTTTGGATTATTCAAATTTAAATTTTATTATATATGTGTTTTTATTAATTTAATTATTAATAAATTATATAGAATATGTAGGACAAATATTATTATATATGGATACTGGTACAGATTATGGTTCGAGTAATTGGGTATCAATAAAGAGCATTTTAATAATTTTTTTTACATAATTGAGGTTTTAAACGGGTTAGGATAATTATAGGTTAGTGGGAATGCATTAGGATTAGGGTAATTATAGAGTGGTGGAGATGTATTAGGATTAGGGTTAAAGTAGTAATTTTAAAAAAAATTTGTGTAGTTAATAGGATTTGGATACTTTATTTCTTATGAGGTTAAAGTTCAGATATCTCAAAATTAATGGATACCATACCCGTTGATAACCCTATATTTACATCTTAAATAAACTCAACCATTGAATAATTGACAAGCAATAATTTTCATGAAAATATAAATTGATTTTCAATTAAAATTTGGGTCAAAATATATAAGAACTTGAAGTAATGAAGAGTGCTTAAGCCAATGTGCTTCATTCCTGTTGGCCTTAGTCTATCTAAGTACTTGAAGTAATGAAGAGTGCCTAGGGCAACAAGGTTAAGCCAATGTTTTTATCTACTCCTTGATGGAATTCGAAAAATGTCTTTATCCAACAAAATTAAATAAGTGCACTCCTATTTTTTAAATCTCCCTTTTCTCAATTAAAAAAAAAATTAAAGAAGTGCATGTGATTGGCTTGCAATGCTCGTCACTAGACTTGTCAATATGGGCCTGCCCAGCCCAGCCCGGCCCTAGCCCTTGTGGGCTGAAAAAATATGGGCAGGGCCGAGCCAGCCC